CCCCCCAGAGGGATGGAGTTATGGCTTTAACCTTTTCATCATGACAACCCTCTCGAAAGCGGAAAGAAACTAAAGTCGGCCATATTATATCATAATAAAGCCCAGAAATTCTTTACAGGCTTGTCATCACAGAACACTGCTTTGTCCTTTAGTGCTTTCCAAATGTCGTGTATGTGTCGGATAACAATAAAGTGCAGCTTGGACCTCATAAATGTTTCTCCCAGATGGACATAACTAATGGAAGGTGCATAATGTGTTTGTGTAGCTAAATTGTGTGAACAGTGAAAATCAGGGTCGTGTTCCTAAATGTCTCCCGGAGGTGATGCTTTGCTCAAAAGTTATTTGAGATGGACGAAGACGCATGAAAACCCTGATAAAAACTTAACATGGTTATATAAAGCTGCTGTACACAGAATACACTCTTTATAAAGGTAAATCATTGTGTACCTCCATATTTTATTTTTCATATAACACTGATCTCTCTGAGAAATGTTACACTATCTGTCTCATGGAAGATGCCCATCCAGATTTAACGTTATAATAAAAGCAATTTTGATGGTCGTAACTTCTTTAAGATCTGAAGATGTGAAAATGAATCATTACCCTTTACACACTACAAACTGTGCAAGTTGTTCATCCAAACTAGTTCTGAAAAAGACAGAGTCTGTCAGTATTCCCATTCTTTTAATTGACAACAGAAGCAAAAACCAAAACAACAGACATGTCTCCTCAATTGTTTATTTGAACTCATTTACAGTCGTCCAACTTCCTGAAACGCATCACTTTTGTGGGTTTTCGCTTGTTTCTCTGGCGCCTGTGCTGTTGATGCTAGCTTTCTGTGATTGCAACCCATTTCTGTAGGGAACTTTGTGCAAACGTGGGACTATTTTTCTAACATGGAGATCTGAATATTGTAGTTACTGTGGGCTTGACTCACTTTCAATGACAGAAACTCACAGCTTATGCACTGCATCTTTCCGTCTGAACAGTTTTAGTATAGCTTGCTTAAAAGGCCTCCTAACCATGACTTCAAACAATTTAAAAAATACAGTACAGTTGTGTGAAAAAAAGAATGCTATTGTATTTTATAAATATATGTATACTGGTATGTATATACTGCATTTGTACTGTTTGTTGCTTTCTAAATCAATGCCAATGTGGATGGGGTGTACAAACTGTAAATCCGTCCCACTTTAATAAACATGAAACTGTTTATCGACTCGTGGAGTCACGATTTCACACCTGCAAGTCATTCCCATGTGTATTTTCTCATGATTACTGTTTTCCTCTTTTGTAAAAGCTGTTGATAATGAAGGTCCTGCGGGCTAAAATCTGACGACAACAGAAAATTAAAGAGGGAATGCTGAAGAGGGTTGTTTATCTAGCTTTGGTATTTCATTGGATACCAATTAAACTTCTGAATGTGGATCAAAGTAAAATCATGGGTTTTAGTATGAAAACACCACGTCTGACATATCGTGTCATATTGCAGTGGCTACAGGCTGTGTAGATTCCTGAAAATGCAAAAACAACAACATAAACATATGCAAATATAATTTCCCTGTCTGATGCTGAATGTAATAAACTCTATTGGTCACTATGGTTCATAGTTGACCCATTTGATTTAAAATGGATTCCAGGGGCTGCAGAAGTATTAAGTAGCACTACTACAATTTAAAGATACTCCATTATCTCCTGCGATTATACCATTATTATTACAGCATTTTACTGTTGTAGGTGGTGTAATGTTACTAACTCCATACTACTGATCTACAACAAAGCATTGTTTCATGAATTCATCATGTGTTTTAGCAGAAAAACCTTAAATCTGTTAAGAAGTAAAGCTGTCAAATACATTTAGTTGGGTAAAAAATAATCAGTTTTCAGACTCGCTTCAAGGATCAGTGTGTAGGTTTTAGTGGCATCTAGCAGTGAAGTTACAGATTTCAACCATCTGAATATAGCTCAGCCTTCCAAGTGTGTAGGGGAAACTATGGTGGCCGCAAAACTCACCAAAAACACTAAAGGCCTTATCTAAAGCCAGTTTGGTTTGCCTTCTGGCCACTTGTAAAATACAAGTATTTTTCAGTTATTCATGTATGTTTGGTCATTTCAAACATAGACATGCAAGTTGCCTGGAATACCAGCTGGTGCAAAAAAACAACCCCAAGCTGGAAAACAAAAAGTTCAGAGGAAAAGCAATGAAAGAGAGATTTCCACAGAGGACATCCGAGTGAAGTAACTGAATGAAGAGTTTAAAGTGTTTGAACAATTCATATTTACTTTAGATAATAATGTGTAGGACAAGGTAATCTGGGTGTCAATATTGCGTCATAATATTCACCAACTACTTGAGTGTATAGCTAGTGAAGACCTGAGGGAGTTAAGAAAATGGTGTAGCAAATTTTGTGCAGTCCAAAGTCAAATATGCAATATTTTGGGAGATGGCAATTGACTTTTTTATATAATATATAATATAAAAACATATTCTTTTACAAATCAACTGTATATGTTTATTTCTTTAAGTATTTGGGGGCTTTTATTGCCTTTTATGATAGTTGACAGCTGAAGACAGACAGAAGGGGGGGCAAGAGAAGGGATGACGCGCAGCAAAGGGGCACAGGTGGGATTTGAACGCCGGGCGTGCTGCAGCAAAGGCTCGCCATCTGATAATGGTCGCAGCTCTACCTACTGAGCTAACCGTGCACCCGATATATATGTTTATTTCATAAAAACAACATGTATGTGGTGACTTAATATGAAGCAATATAATGGGCAAATCGAATCAGTTCTGCAGGTCAGGAATGCTGTCATATGTAGCTGCAGAGGACATGTGGATTTTGAAATTGTACGATTATTTTTTTGAATTCATGAAGACCAAGACCAATTTGTAATTGAAATGTTTTGTTTTTTTCCCTGACAGCGTGCTTTAGAGCCTCTTCTTTATATTAACATCTCTTGACCTCCTTTCTTTTTTTTCTGCTCTTAGTTTTTCATGTGAAAACTGTGGTGAGGAACCAGAAATAATTGCCACTGAAGTTGAAGATGAGACAGGCTGAGGAGAGACTTCGTGAGGAGACTGCGGTCCACCGGCTAGTTTGACTGGAATTTTAATAGTGCTTCTTTGTGCTGTGACTGGCATCCTGTTTAGTGGAGATGAATAAACAGCATATTCTCACAGCAGAACTACAACATATGGCAGATGAGAACACCCAGTCTAAACTTCAATCTTCTGGGACGTGACAACTTCACCTTGTTGTCTGCTGAAAAACAGCTGAGCCTGGACAGTTGGAGGCGGAGAACAAAGAGCTGAACATTTTTCTAAATCCAACCCTGGAAAACTTTGTGGAAGAAGAGAACAGAAACCCTCTTTTTTTAAATAAATCACTGCACATCATCACCAAGACGTCTGCAGAAAGCAAACGGTGTCGCCTGCTGTTAAACAATGAACGGCAAACCTCAAGGAAACCGAGATCAATCCGGTTCTCCAACAAACTGTTCTTCCTCTGGAGATCCTGCAACAACAGCACGCTCCACGCTGCTTCCACCTGCGTGTACCTGTGTGGCTCCCAGTTTGTTTTGACTGACAGGCAGGGGTGAAGTAGGCTGGGTTCTCCTTTCTTCTTCTTATTCTTCCTCTTCTATAATACTGCTAAAATGTAATCTATGTGACTGTTTCATAATATAATTTAATGTTATAATTAAAATGATAATATCAAATTGAAAAGAAGATTAGGGAGAAAACAACTGAAGATTAACAGGGCCAAAATGGGGTCCAGGCATGTTCAGAGGCCCTGTTCCAACAAGTTATTAGAACACCTCCAACATGAGCCAACGTCATTAGTTTCAAAGTTGTCTGAGATGTGGAGAAACAGTAAAATCTCATCTTGGGTCACATTTATGTAATTCATAATAAGAATAAGTGATTATATAATCGTTTATACAAGGATTAAATAATAATGTAACCTGAGATG